GAAAATGACGAATCCTCAACCAATTCGGGGGCCGAAAATTAGGAGAGGAGAGTTTATAAACTCTCGCTAATAACCAAGGAATTTATCAAGGAAGGAACATTAAACTTATAGCCTAAACTTAAACTTAACTATAGCTTACACCTAAATAAAGTATAGATTGTATATAGTCAGTAAATCAGTATTTAATGGTAAAAAAAGGGGGGAGAGATGAACTTAACATTATTCGCGAGAATAATAGACTAAAAGGGAAGACTGTAGAATTGGTAATTCCAGCAAACTTTCGACTTAGCGTATTTTCTGCTTAAGTTTAGGTATTTCAATTCTCGTTATGAGGTCTAAATAGCTTAATTGGATGGCTGTTAGCTAAGGGTAAATAAAGTAGAAAGATTGAAAAGTGGACTTAAAGCTAAATAACGTAGTAGAAATAAAATCGAAGAAAAATGCACTTTTACCCGGACATTTCCCCCTCTAACTCTGGCTGGGATTAAGAAAATGGAAAACGGTTTATACCTGTAGGTAGCTAATTGCTATGGGATTGTACATGCACGGAATTATGTGCCTAGGGTAAATTGGGTCATGGGGGTACTACCGAGTATAAAAGCAAAACTTATCCCCGACCGTGTATTTTATCCTAACATGATAGGGAAAAATATTAGTAAATTTGGTTCAAAATCGGGTTATGATTAGTTTATTGGGATCGTACGACTTTGTTGCTTGGGTCAAGATTTGACACCGAAGTCAGCTGGTATTTAAGTAAGTAGCGTAGGGGGATTTAACTGATAAGAATCATACGACTTCGGTTACTTACCCGATTTACGATACCAACCGCAGGGGGATGTATTTACGAAACGTGAACAAGTCGATTAAAACCCCGGACTTGGAACCCGTCAGCTTTGACAGAGGGAGTAGGTAAAAGCGAAAACCAGAGGGGGCGGTTGTGCTTAAGGGGATGACAACACCGATATGAAGTGGCGTGACTTTAACAAAAACGGAGCGCAAATAGAGATAAGAAGTGGAGGTTCGAGAGCGGACTTTGAAGGGAGAACGAGTTAACGAACGTAAGATTCAGGAGGTCCCAGTTTTGGTCGCTATCTGAACTCATCAGTTAATTGTTTCACAGCGAGTGAAGTAAGAACGCAAGTCGAAACGCCTTGTGGAATATTAGTTAGAGTAGAAGCTAGCAGAAAGTCAGAGAGCTTAGTCGACGCGTGTACTGACCGAGTACGCACAAGAAATTGTTAAGCGTGTACATATCGCAAATCATTCTGTTGTATATTAATAAATTATACTCTGGCCGAACTATTAGGCCCCTTGTATTCAGACTTATATATATTCAATTCATTTGCAAAAAAAAGGAATTCGTTGTACGCGACTTCAAGCGAGATGTAGCGAGCAAGAGCATCACTGATCAAGGGGGAGCAATAGAATACAGTAGAGGACAACTCACTACTAACATAACCCTTTCGGGATTGTCGTTAATACCAAGCCTTAGTGCCCCTGCTTTAGCACGGTAAAAGGGATAGCTTCGCAAGACCGTGTGTGGAAATCCTAAAGACGACACAACCATCGATACGCACGCGATGCTGAGCATTTAGTTAAAAAGAGCTACGCCGCATATGCAGCTCAGATTACAAAGTGTTTATCAATTCAAGTATTCATCAAGTATTTATCAAAAACTTCCAAAACTCAAGTATTTATCAAAATTTGCGCGTTTTCGATTGAATTAGTCTGATAAAGGAGATCACTAGAGCTACTTGAATTTGTAACAACGAGAAAAAGCTTTCTCATGTTATTTTTCCAGCAATTATGTGTAAAAATAATTGAAATTTTAAGTGCTTTTTTCCAGAAAGTTCAAGTAAAATCAAGTGAACAATTGACTAGAAAATCTAACAAAGCTTTTGTTTTGGTATTTCAATTGTTTTTATATGAAGTTTCTGGTAAAAAAAAGGTGTGCAATGCCATGTTTCCATTGTTACAATTGAGTTTTTGTTCCAAGAAGTTCAAAAAGTTTCGTCTCTTGGTCTTTTTTCTCGCGATTTTGTCAAATATTAACAGGGAATGTTTAAAGAGAAAGTCTGTGAATACTTTCAAGAGTGTATTGTTGATCAAAAACAGAATAAAACAAAAAAAATGGTTCGATTTTTAACTTAAAATTTTTGATGGAAGATTTTAGTTGTTGGGCGCTTTGTTTAAAATGGTTGTTTTTTATTGGTCGAAACTGAACACACAAGATACTATTATGAAAACAAGAACATACAAATTGTTTCCCGCAAACAAAAAAAATGAAAGCATTGAATTTTAGAAACACAAAAACCACAATTGAAAGATAAACATATAAATATTGGGATATTCAGCGCTAAAAAATACCACAAAACATTTTTTTTATCGCTGTTTATCAAAAGTGCGGACATTTTTTAGATGCAGCATTTTGCAGCAAAAGTGCGGACATTTTTTATCGGAAAGAAAATATATGAAAAACTAAATTAAAACAAGGATAGCCAGTAGCTCAGAAATTTCAATCCAGATAAATTAAGAAAAACAATTCAAAAAGCAACAAGACTGCTCGTATCAGGGCGAAGCCCTGAATGTTCCGACTGCCTTTTAAGGTTTATGGAGCAGTAATAACATTAAAAAATTCAATGAAACAAAACAAAATTAAAAAATTTTTTTTCTAAAATTTGAAATTTTTTATGAAAATCATCCCCCCCCACCCGCCATATAAAGTACAAAAGGATAAATTTCGATCCTTGTAACAAATCAATTATGGCAAATAAGCTTCGTTCAAACAATTTGGAACGATTTCTAAGACGGATTAACTCTCCGCTTACGCGTTAATAGCGCGAAATATATCGCGCGTTAATTGTCCCAAATTGGCCAAAATGGCAATCTTTAAACCCCCGTAACTTTACGAAAAATGACCACAGGTGAAACATCTTTTCAATATTGAGCTCAATTGAGGACAACAATACCTTTCGAATGATATAAGAAAATTCCATCAGAAATGGTCGAAATTTGTCTGAAGAAAAAAAAACCCACCCCGAGCACAAATATTCCGTTACTTTCGTATCGAAAGTCGGAACAATAAAAACCAAATGTAAGTTAAAATAAAAATAACAAACTAACTGTTATTTATCGAAAAAAAACATGTTAAATTTAAATTAAATTAACATATCAACAAGAGTTGAGTTTCTTGAACAGAAACGCCAACTTTCGCCGAGTTGAGCACGAAGCTTCCCATACGTTAGGTGAGATTTTTCGCTCTGGAGTTTGTCAAGTGAAACTGCAATTGGTTTGAAATTTTTTTTTTCATCCGTTCGGGATTTGCTAAAATTGTTTCGGAACAAGCATGCAGTATAGTTGCGTTGTGTTTTTCGAAGAATTACTCATATTTCTAAGAAATAGCTAACATCACTGTTAGAAATTGTAAATAACACTGTAAGTTAAATTCAATGTTAAATAAAAATGTTAAATAACATGCCAACCCTGATAAAACTTTTTAAAAATCTAATTGATTTTTAGTTTTCGTTTTTTTTCTAAGCTTTTGCTAAGGTTTTGACAAAAGAGTGACAGATTTTGATGAAAAAACCCAAAAGTAGTAGAAATAGTTTTAAAATTAACATCGCCTATGTATTCGCCTAGAATTGGGATGTAAGCTAAATTTGTCTATGTTCAACAATTTTTGTCAAAATTAGTCTGAAAACCATATATATTCAGACCACGTTTTCTTGAAACTGAGACAAATTTTTAGAGTCCGAATCAAAAAAAAATTAGCTTGAACATGATCCCTCACTGAACTTCTAAAAAAATATTTTGAGTAATCTGTAGCTCTTTTCTACTCTTTGAGCGATCGGGAAAAAAAGCAGTAGTGCAGTGCTGATTGAAAGTTAGAAAAAAACACAGAGTCATCTTCTGAAAAATTTGAATTTGAATGGTCTACAATTATACATAAAACATTCTCAAATCTTCCAGATTTTGTCAGACAAAAAACACGAACGCTCTACAACAATGACTCATTTTGATAGCTTTCCTCCAGCATTTCAAAACACTATTGTTACAAATAGTAAGAGATAGCTAATCAAGTCCTCAAAAGAGAAGTATAAAAATGAGTGGACGAAATAGCAATGCAAACCATCCCAAAAGAAAAGAAAGACAAGAAATTTGATCGACCAACTGCCGGGAAATTCAGACGACTCCAGCCAAGACGACACAACAGTAATGCTTAGTGTGAGGCCGAATAAAAATAAAGAGCCCTCGAGATTCAGAGACCCAATGAAGCATTCGATCAGGGAGATCCAACAGATACAAAAACGTAGAGCAGCAGGCTGAAGATTGCACTGGGAGACTATCGAAACAAATTGGCGATTTGTACGAGTTGCGCAGACCGACCGCTAAAACTATCATATCTCAGAAACTTTTCAGTGGTAGAAAAAAATCAATTCTGAAACAAAAAAAATTGTATTAAAAACTGTTTTTTTTTTATTAAGATGAGACTAACAACCAAATTTTTGTTTCCTGATAATTAGACTTCATGGCTTCGGAAGTGACGTTTGAAATTATAATCAAGAACTACTTTATCTTACTTTGGTTTTCTTCTGCAAAAAAATCGAATATTCCAAGAACATTTTCAAAACATTTCAACTATGAATGTAACGGAAAAAATCGTTTGTCACACTTGAACTAACAAGAATCTCTTTTCATTGAAAACGAAAGTACAAAATATGTTTGCAAAAACGGAATTTCAATCTAAGACTGCAATGATAGCCTTATATAGCTTTTCGATAAGATTGGTAATTGTGTTAGTGCCCCCCGACCAATAAACTAAAATGTCGAAAATTGATAAATATTTGCATCAACACAATCAATTTTACTGAGCATGAAAGGTCCGAAATCATTTTTTGAATCCTGTTTTTGGCAAGTTGTTCCTCAAAAATTTGGAAATTTGAATCTAAATTTTAAAAAAGTAAGGGTATTTAAAGTGGAAAGTTTTGAAGGTATCTTACCTCGTTCGATTCCTCTGTCATCGTCATCAATTTTCGTATCGCTGTTTTTTTATAGAAGCGTGCCGAGAGTTTTTAAGCAGAACACACTAAAGTGGTCCAACTCGAACCAACCTCAATAATACGTAGAACAGAAAAAATATATAGCATATCAGTTGTACAGTATCAAAAAGACTAGTTTCTTATGAATACGGAGCAATTCATGCAAGACGTAGACGGTTAAACTTAATCAGTTTGATTTATCTAGACAGCGCCAAACTTTACGGTAAACAACGCGTTCAATACTATTAGTAAACTAATTGTGGCTTTTTACATTGACGGCGTAACTTTTTTTTGGACTGAGCACTTAAAAACAAAAAAAAATTATTTGAAAAAATTTAAGTTTGGTTTTTGTTACTGCCAAGGGTGGGGCTGACCGCCCTAACCCTCAATTTTGTTTTCCATTTTTTACCTTTTCATTCAATTTTCGACAGCAATTTTTTTTGAGAAAATTTTGAGGTTGTTCAGCAAAAAAATGGATGTCATAAAGTTATATCAAAGGGGGAACCTTTGAAAAATTTTGGTAACGAGAATTGAGGGGCGAGGGGGTCCTATTCATACACATCAATTACGTTCTTGATGTTATTAAGCAATTTGTAACAGTAATTTCTATTATAAAAAAAATAAAATTTAAACAGTAATTTCTATTATAAAAAAAATAAAATTTAATGATTTTTCGGTTTGTGGCTGAAAACCTCTCGGCTGAAAAAACCGCCTTAACGGAGCGATATAGATTGAGGTTGAAACGGCCCTAAACGCGAGCTTAGGTAAATCAAATCGCAAGGAAACAAAATTTATTTTAGTGATTTAAATTTTGGGTATATTATTGTTCAGTTTCAAATTTGTCTTATTCTTTCTAAACTTAAAAAATTCTTGTAGATGTGAAGAGTAGCATCGTTTAATTATAGCTAGAACTTCGACCAATAATGGTGGTGCCAATAACACCCAATTTGATTTGCGACACTGTTTGTGCGTGGTTTGATTGCGGTTGTGTGAGTGATTTTCTCGGGTGTCTTTTCTCATTCCGCCCAAAAAACGATCTTTCAATCTCAATAACTGAAAGTACTTAGCTTCAATCTGATTGGCTAGAAAGTTCAGAATCATTTGAAAATGTTTTGTTCCTAATTCTAAATCGACTTTTAAAAAAACCCGAAAATTTACACAAAAAATAACTCCAGGAAAAAAGTTACTACTTCAATGTCTGCGCAAATTTGGCTTTTTCAGAAACCAGCTATGGAACAAAATGATTAGATTTGTTTTAACCAAACTAATCAGTGCAATTTTTTTATCGCATTCAACCTTTGAAATTTACAAAATCGCAAAATTAAAATATTTGTGTAAAAATAGTAAGAAGACCCAATTTCTCACTCAATGTCGCAGGTACATCTCAATTAGTTGTTTTCTTGGATGATGTCCAAATGACATAAGTCACAAATGGCAAAAAAATGAAATTTTTCCCAAATGGCATAAACTTCAAGTTTCCATTGTAACTCAAGCGTTTTCTATCGATTTATAATTTTAACAAATTTTTTCAGGCAAGATAACATGTGAACAAGATTTGGAATTAATGCTTCCGAACAAACGTTAAGCGACAAATTTGTCAGAAAAATTGACAATAATTGTCTCGCTTTTGATTAAAGAAATGTACACATTTTTCAAAATAAAATTTGAGTTTTATTTGATTCCTCGTTTTGTGTCTGTTTTTTTCGGATGCAGCATGGAATTCTTGTTTTTGGTTGTTGTAGCTATACAGCTCTTCGCCCAGTTTTCATATTTCAGAAAAAAATTTCAATATGCATTCATTACTTTAAGCAAAGAGATTTTTCGGAAGATATTTTCACTCGACATGGAATACTCTCTGCTTATGAACTACGTGTTTATAAACTATTGAAATTTGTTGTAAGATTTATCGAAAATTTCTTTTCTGAATGCTATCTTAATGATTTGTTAGAATTTGAAAACTCAAAATTTGCAACCCGTAGGGCCGATTAACAAATTTTACGGCAGCCCTTTTGTCGCACGAAGCTGGAAACATTCGTTATAGGGCAACGAAGCTTTACAATGCCTTGAAATCAAATGGACTACTACCTAATAACACTAAAATCCTAACAGAAAAAGAAATTCTAGACTTAGCCCATGTTCTCAGAGATGGATACTATATGAGTAATAATGAGTAATTTTATCTTTTCCAAAGGCTCCATGGTACAGAGGCTTACACCTGGGACTTGAACCCCTGGGGTAGGGATTCGATTCCTGACTGCAACCATTGATAATTAATGCCTGGATAAAGATCGTTGAACATAGGAAAGAGAAAATCAGAGCTATTAGCAGGGTAATCACGGTCGTAGGAAATTAAAATGAGAAGGAGGGTAAAGCAAGATAGGAGGTCGGGAAAGAAATTTTATTTTCAAGGCTCTCAAATTTTAAACTGTCACAGTTCTTTAATTTTGTGGTAAAATGCTTGATTGGAGCTCCTGAAAAAGGGGTTCGAATCCCAGTCGGACTTTTTTTTGAAATGTTTAATTATATATGTATTGTTAGAACAAAAATTATTATCATGATTATCATTGATAACTTCTTTCAAAGCAAGTATTGTTTGACACTTCTGTTGCTCGGGGTAGACTTAGAGCAGATCAGTTGATCTCAATATTTACTCTTTTCAAGTGGCTATGTCTATTGCTGTAATTTGTATATTTAGTTATATCAATTTATTTTGACTTGAAAGAAATTATTATTCTTCTTTTTCTCTTCGTCTTCTGACTATTTTTAGCTCATCTATTTTTTTTATTCTCCCCGTACTTTACACCCATCCGTGTAGCAACGCAGCGAAATCTGGAAGCTAGCAAAAGGTACACTATAAATTTTCTGTAAGTGACAACTGAAAGCTTAAGTTTCAGCCATAATATTTAAAAAAAAGTTCATCAACAAACAAACCTGTTCTGAGAATACTACCTTGTATGGGTTTTAGAAAGCTGCACTTCACGAGGCATCAGATCCTTGGGTAATTATTTGAGCGTTTTCCGTAACGAAGGCATTCCCGTGTGTATTTAAAAAAGTAGGGGCTGGGAAATTAGATGATAAGCGAATTAGACAGCTCCAATCATTTGAAATTTAATGGTTTTTTTTCTGCAAAACTAGTTTTAAGGCGGAAAATGGGCTAACACAAGGGGCCAATAATATTTAGAAAAATAGTTTTTTTAATTACAAAACAATTGATAATCCTTTTGCATATCAAAATAATTACCACAGATAATTTATGAAACGTTAATCCGAAAATTGTAAAACGTTTTTGAAATGCAAAAAAAATATACAATGCGGCGTGTGAAAATTGCGTTATGTGAAATGCTGCTATGCATTTAAGAAAAGTTCAAACGAAACTTAATTGAAGTTCACACTTATTTGTAGCCGGTAAAAAAATTTTGTCATGATAACAATACACTCAAGTCTAACTTCCAATATTTGAGATCTACTTAACAATCTCCCCCCCTTATAGTATTTACTAGATAACTTCCATCCCTAAATAAATACAAAGCACTGGCCCGGGTTGACCTCCACAAACCAAAAATGCTTATCTTACATTTCCCCACACCGAAAATGCTTATCATACAATTGCCTACATCAAATGTATGGAAAAATGCTAGTCATACAATTTTCATACAATTTTTTTAAAAAAAATTTAAGTAAAATTGAAATTGCCCCAAAAATTTTTTCGTTTTTTTTCAACCTGAAATCGAATTTTGTACTAAAACAAACATTTTCCAAAAAAAATTTTGCATGCATATTTTAACTTTTTGTATGCATAACATAGTCCACGATGCACAAAAATTGGAGTTTTTTCCGTTTCTCTGGATAACTTTTTTTAAACAGGCTAAAAACTCCTGTTTTTTTTGTATGGCATGTTTATATATGCCTTGATCAATGTCTGATAAGTTGAAACTTCAATTTCAAAAAATCTTCTTTGAAAAAATTTGCCAAAATTCAAAAGTTTGATGCTTTCACTATATGGTTTGTGAAGTAATCACGTTTACAATTCAGATCGTTTCCAATGCATTGTCAATGACAGACGATCAACCTTTTGGGAACTCTAGTGTTGAGTACACCATGGGTTTAGTCAGTTGAGAAATAAAAATTAGGAAAAAAATAATTTTTGGTTTATGACAATATGCTTGTCCTACACTTTTCATTTATGAAGAAATGCTTATCCTAGATTTTTTTAAACAATTTTCTGAGTCTTAAACAATGAAACTGTAAGAAATTGTAGGATAAGCATTTTTTCAAAAATGGAAATTGTAGGATAAGGATTTTTGGTCAACCCGGGGGAGCTTGTTTTGAGAATTCCAATTTTCCTGCATTCTGATTTGTCAAAAAATTGACTTTTTTGATCTTCTTAACAATCTCCCCCCCCCTTTTTAAAGGGGAGGGAGAAAAGGTTGTTAAGTAGATCCCATATTTGTAGTTTTGCATCAACGTCTAAATTCATTTTTTGGCCGTATCTATTTTGCTTGTGGTCTAGTTTCCTTGGCCCCTCATCTGGGTATAGGGTTTGTTATTTTGACCATTGGTAATATTCTGATGTTCTTTATTGATTTATTGATCCCACTAAAAACAGTTACTCCGGCAGTCGTTTTTGATGTGCTTTATTGATTGTTTTGAAAAAGACCTGATAATCTCCAACCATTTGTTTTGAATTGTATGTCAACGAGAAAATACTGTTGTTTCTTTTAACTTTCTATTGTTTGTTTCTCTCGACTCTAGTGGGAATTTACTATACTTTTCGGGAAATCTAGTGGGAAATTAGACGACAAGCAAATCAGAAGTTACCAAAAAAATGAAATTAGACGTCAATGCAAAATTACAAAGATGGGAAATTAGACGTAATTGGATTGTTATCGAGTCCAAAATTTGTTTACCGACTACATATAACTGTTGACTACAAATAACTTTATCTCGAGTTTTTCCTAAATGTTAATCAGTTTTTCACATGCCGCAATTTTTGCATGCCACAATTTTATATACCGCAATTGTATGATTTTGCATTTCAAAAATGTTTTAATTTTCGGGTCAACGTTTTATAAATCATCTGTGGGAAATATTTTGATTTTGATATGCGATAGGATTATCAACTATTTTTGTAATTAAAAAAACTATTTTTTAAGCACTAAGTTTTGCTAGCCCTTTGCTTTCAATCTGAAATGCTAATTTTGCAAAAAAAACAACGTCCTAATTCTTTTTTATTGGAGCCGTCTAATTTGCTTGTCTTCTAATATCCTAACCCCCCACCCAGATGACCCTGAACTAATTGTTCTCCGAGTTGTTATAAAATTCGGAATTTTTTTGTGTTCAATATTTGATAATTTGGCATTTCGTTCGGAAACATTTTGGCAGTTGTGCAACCAACCAGTAGCGCATTTAGGGGGCGGGGCATACGCCTCCTTCTCTCATGGGTTCGACATTCTGCCGACCCAAAGAGCCCTACTATGCTATATTTTGAAATGAACATTTTAAGATGACTGACCCTAAAAATTTAAGAGGCTTTTTCTTTAAGTGCGCTAATATAAATTAGTTTTGTATCTACCTAACAATTTCCCCCTTTCAAGAAAGGGGGGCAATTGTTAACTAGATTAAGGTGTCGAATAGTCGACCGAACAGATTGTAGCAAATTGCGAATTTTAAATACAACACTCTAGTGCTATTTACTGCTTGTAGTTATAGGGGTGCCAATTTTTTAGTAGATAACAAAGGGAGGTCGATTGACCTAACCCTAAGTAGATCCCTAATTTTAATGGCGGAGCAACGCAAGTTTTTCGGTCAAAACTTTCCAAAAAGTGTTTTAATATGCCTTTTCCGACCTGTTTTTTTTTCCAAAAATTTGCCTGCATGACACAAAATAAGTTAAAAACAGGGTCGTTTTAGTATGTGGGAGAGCTCGAAAACTCAACATGGTCGACCCTAAAAAAGTTTCTAAAAAGATTTTCCAAATCTTTTTTTAAAAAATTTTTAAAAGTTTCGTCTCTTCTCTCCCTCTTTCTTCTCAATAAAATCCTGGGTCCGTGTCTGCAACAAACGATAAGACAATTCAGGATTTTCAGCAGCCTTAGCTTCGATGCTTATCGAAAATTTTTGTATTAATTTCACTTTAATTTTGACGGAGAAGTTGGTCTAAGTTCGAACGTTCCAAGACACCTGCGACGTTCAGTGGTTTTTTATTGTAATTTTACAATTTTGTAATTTTGAATGGATAAATGCAAAAAAAAATTACTGATTGCACTGACTGATTTGGTTAAGACTGTGTAATCACTCTTTTCTTTAGCTGATTTCTAATTAAGTCGAATTTGAGCAGAAACCAAGTGGTCTTTTTTTCCTAGATTTAATCACAGTGTGATTTTTTTGGTCTGGTTCAAACTCTGAATCCCATTTGAAATAACTTAGAATAGTTCACTAAGCAATCTGAAATTTTGGGTCATTGTTTCGACAATTTTCAAACAAATTGACGGAACGGAACGGAACAATTGTGCTCGGGGTGGCTTTTTTCCACCAGACAAATTTCTACCTTTTAGCTGCAAGGAATTTTGACAGATATTTTTCTGAAACTCAAAAAAAAATATTTCACCTTTGATCATTGTTCGTAAAATTATGAGGGTTTGAAGACTGCCAATTTGGTCAATTTGGGACAATTTATGCGCTATATATATCGTTCTCTTCACGCGTAAGCGCTGGTACCCAGGGAATTTTCTGTGCAAGATCTGAAATTCTTTATTTCATACATTAGTTGATTCTCAGATCTGAAATTCTTTATTCCATCTCTGGATAAGAAGTTGAAAAAATCAGATACGAAACTGGGGCGTGGAGTAGAAAATTTCAGATCTGAAATAAACTTGAAAAACAAAATTTCAGATGTGAAATTAGATCTAAGAAACTTTGTTAAATGCCGTTGGGAGAAGGGAAGGGGCGGAGTTTTAACTTGGTCCTTGATTTGTTACTAGGAGCGAAATTCATCACTTTCTAATTTATATGGCGTGTGGGGATGATTTTCACAAAAAATCTCAAATTTTAATATCTATATTTTTGTTCCGACTTTCGATACGAAAGTAACGGAATATTTGTGCTCGGGGTGGGTTTTTTTCTTCAGACAAATTTCTACTTTTTAACTAGCCATTTTTGACGGGATTTTTTATATCATTCGAAAGCTATTGTTGTCCTGAGCTTAAACTTGAATAGATATTTCACCTTTGATCAATTTTTGATAAGTTATGGGGTTTAAAGATTGCCATTTTGGCCAATTTGGGACAATTAGCGCGCGATATATTTCGCGCTATTAACGCGTAAGCGGAGAGTTAATCCGTCTTATAAATCGTTCCAAATTGGTTGAAACAAGCTTATTTGCCATAATTCATTTGTTACAAGGAGCGAAATCTATATTTTTGTTCCGCCTTTCGATACGAAAGTAACGGAATATTTGTGCTCGGGGTGGGGTTTTTTTTTCTTCAGACAAATTTCGACTTTTAAACTAGCCACTTTTGACGGAATTTTTTTATATCATTCGAAAGCCATTGTTGTCGTGAGCTTAAATTTGAAAAGATATTTCACCTGTGATCATTTTTCGTAAAGTTATGAGGGTTTAAAGATTGCCATTTTGGCCATTTTGACCAATTTCGGACAATTAACGCGCGATACAATTCGCGCTATTAACGCGTAAGCGGAGATTTAATCCGTCTTATCAATCGTTCCAAATTGGTTGAACGAAGCTTATTTGCCATAATTGATTTGTCTTTTTGTACTATAGGGCGTGTGGGGGGATGATTTTCATTAAAAATTTCAAATTTTAGAAAAAAAAATTTTCATTTTATTTTATTTCATTTAATTTTTTATGTTATTACTGCTGCTCCATAAACCTTAAAAGGCTGTCGGAACATTCAGGCAGCCCTGATACGAGCAGTCTTGTTTCATTTTGTTTTATTTTAATTTTTAGACTTAACGCGGAGATTTTAGTCTTCGGCCGGCGCTGGTCACGATAATTTTTCCTCAGTCTGTAAAGTCTGAAACTTCGGTCGCGATGTCTTCAAATACCCAATGGTGGTCGGTCGCGACGGTCTGAAAAATAGCAAAATATCAAAATTTGGTGACGATAGCCTAATCATAAAACCACAACAGTATGTACATGTGAATGCTTTTACATTTTATCTCGGTGAGTTTTCGTTCCGGTCGAGCTGTTATGTACAATAAGAAAAATTAGACGAGATTTTTGGCCGATGATTATACGTGATGTGATTACATTGTTTGGCATGTATTATAATGAAACGTCCGATAATTTGAGAGGTATATCTGCTGCGTGCGCATTCTATTTGCGCTTGTTAATTGCCACATATTCGAACTTTGAGCAACAAATGGTTCGGCTTGAAGTAGAGGAGGCTTGTTGAGCTGGCTCTAATTATCATGCATTTATTTTAGTCATGCCTGAATAAAATTTGAACAACTCGCCGCAAAACCAGTGAGTCAATTACTTTTGATACAATATTTTGCTGAATACAAATTTTTCTTTATACAGTCCGCAAGAAATTATGTTTGTTGATCTCAATTTTTGGTTTTATGAACTGAACAAAAAGAATCACAAAGTCTACTTGGAATCTAATATTTATCAAGTCTGTCTGATTTAGAAAACTACAATACTCTACTACGAAAATTTTCCTAAACAGACGCTTGTTCTTCGGTGAAGAAAAATGACCCTACAACTAGGAAAAGGTAATGCACTGATTCGTTTTCATCTTTCGCTCGTTAAATGTCCGCACAAACAATATTTAGCTGGAAATTTTTAGCATGCAAAAAATTTCAAATAAAAAAAAAGAATTGAGATGAAACGATTTTTCCGAAATTTCTAATTTTTTGATTTAGATGAATCATACCGCTGCAAACTTTGCACCGAAGTTTACGCCAAGAACGACGCAGTTCAGCATCTAAATGAAACACATCAAGTGTCAATCAGTGATGTTAGTTTGGTTATTGGACTTCTGGAGCCCATATCATTCAAGTGAGTTTCTGTTATTCAAAATCGTGAGATCGTTTTTTCGATTCGTGACACTAATTGTGTTTTAGTGGAAAATCCAGACCAAATGGGTTTGATTTGCGCCAGAAAGTTAATTCAAAAGCAAAAGGTCCGAAGGCGAAAACGGACGAAGACCCTGACTGGACACCTGTCGGCCTTAAAAAGGCATTGAATTATACCGAGGAAAACGGGGAGTTTAGGTGCAATGCTTGTCACAGACTGTTCAAACGAGAAGGACAGTTACAGCGGCACAGATGCTTCAACGCCGAGGAATCGGAGCGGATTGAATACAAAGAGCCAAAACGAAGAAAAATAGATGGGTCGAATAGAAATAATGGACCCAAGATTGTAAGACAGACACAGGTAGATCTAAGACCGGTTGCACGCAATGTTCAGCCAAAGGTTGACTGCTTAGAAGAGGGCCCATTTTTCTACCGCATAAAGAAGGACCTTCGTACAGTTAGTGCAGATGTTTTTGCACAGACGAAGAAAATTGAGGTCCAGGTTAGCGTTGAGGGAGATGACGAAGAGATAGTACGAGATATGTTTCAATGCTTGGATTGCCAGTCAGTCTTACCAACTTTAGAGGAGGCTAAGAAGCATTTGAAAGGACACTTGCCAACGCATCATTTCAGCTGTAAGTTCTGCCCTGCTACTAAAAGATTCACCGATGATTCTCTTGCAGAAGTTTTGCGACATGTGAAATCTTACCACTCTGACAGATATGATTCAAATATCTGCGTTAGGTGTGGATTCGAAGCAGAATCAATTCGCGAACTGTTTCAACACATGTCCGCAAAGCATTACCCGGGATCGACTCATAGCTGCTCTGAATGCGGCGAACATTTCGGACTGTCCATTCTCGGTCTTGTAAACCACGTGCGATTGAAACATGCAGCTGAAAATCCGACACTTTTTGAATCAGTAGTTATCGAAGCCAAAACTTTCTATCAATCAGAAGATATTTTTGAATGCAACCTGTGCGAGAAGATTTTCTTTGTCAACAGTCATATCGAAGCTCATAAGGAAGCGCATGCATCTGGAAGCTTGCAGGTTTCAGACGATGACTGCTGCGGACTGTTCAAATGTACACATTGCAAATACCAAGCTGACAACGTTGACGAACTAAGGCTTCATTTGAGCGCTGCGCATCAGCATCTGATGTGTCGTCTATGCAGTGCTATAATTTTTACTGGATCAACATTCACAGAAACCCTGCTGAATCACGTTGTATCTTGTCACGATATACGTTACGATTTCGACTCGTTAGTGTATTATGAGGATCTCTTCAAAGAAGCCAAGAATCTTTTTTGTGTCAAAACTTCCCTCAAATGCAAGATTTGTCCAAAGATGTTCTTCACCAGAAAGTCTTTCACCGATCATATGCGTTCACATGAAGGTGGAAACGTTTCTGAGTTCTCGTGCGAGGTGTGCGAATACAAGTGCACAACTCGCAGACAGTTGCATCGACATGTGCGCTCTCACAAGTTTCTCTACTATTGTCCAGATTGTAAACTATTCTTCACGAGTAATCAAAACTTACAGGAGCATCTAATCAACACGCATTCCGAGACAGAAGAGCTCCCGTGTGACGAGTACAAGAGAAGTTTGGTCATGAGTTTATTTCTTCCCGAGCCCGGATTTCCATCTACGGTTCCACTTAATTACGTAAACAATGATCTCATCATGGATTATTATAAAGGACGAGTGACAAATTTGTGCGGAGAGAAATTTGATTTTCCAAAATACGCTCAAACATCTTTGAGTAAAATGTTAGTGGAACCAGTAGAAACTGAAAAAGAAGACGAGGGTTATGAGTCACCAATGGAGCCAACAGAAGCTGCGAAGACTGCTCCTGAAACGACAGTCGAGGGAACTTCAGTTTCTGAATCATCGACAGAGCAACCAGCTGCGACCGATGAAGCACAAGGAACAACAATTGTGCTAGTAACTAGGGAAGAAGGAACTGAAACTGAACAGCAGTATGAGATTGCACTGCCGCCAGGAACTGACGGAGTCGCGACACTGCGCGAAATGGGATACAACGTCGAAGACTTCAGTCTTGCAGAGGGCTCATCATTGGGCAATTCAGCCGGAGCTGATTCAAAGTTGGAGCTATCAATTGACAGTCCATATGTCAGCTGTGAAAACACGGAATTCTGTCTAGCAATCGCTTCCCAAAAGTTTTGTTGGATGACTGAGGATGCGCTTCAAGCGCTGATGAATTGTTTCGGAGATATGGAGTGTCTGTTCTGTGGAAAGTTCTATGGATTGCAGTCGAGATATTACGCACATCAAAACATCCACACTAAAGCCACGCAGTTCAAATGCGATGAGTGTGATTATTACTCGCATAGTATCCAGTTGTTGAGACACCACCAGGATAGAAATCATGGAATCGAAAATCTGAGATGCAATGAGTGTGAGTTCACGACAAAGAGCAAAGTGAAGCTAGCGCAGCATCTTAAGAAGCATGTTCCCAAGACTGAATTGAAGTGTCCGAGGTGTTCTTTCACTTGGTAAGTTATAACTTCCGTTTTTCAAAAAGAAATCTATTGTAACGGAGTCCGAAAAATAAGAATCAGTAAAAATCGATAGGTTCAAATTTTGTGAAGAGTTCATTCAGAAATAAATGAAAAATCTTGGTTTTCTTCTAGTGAGAATGAACGACGCATGAGAGAACATTTCACGTTGTCTCATCCGGAGTGTACGGCGGAAGAAATTTCTACTGCGCTCGGAGGGAAACGTAACTTAAACGTAAGTAATCTTAGTTTGCGATCATGTTATTTATGAAACCACAGACTCACCAGAATTAACCTTTTTCTGCAACCCAATATTAATAGTTTTGCCATTCCTTATGCCCCAATATAAAATCCAATCAATGGATTTGACCTTGATTCAAATCCGATATTTTGTTTCAATTAAATGTCTATTATTAAGTCTGCATACCGGAAATAATCATACTGCGCTTACGTCAATAAAATAGTTGCCATAAATAGCGTGAGATCTCTAAGAACGATATTACCAGAACTGAATTTAATCTTTTCATTTTGTAAACAGTTAACAACGGAGTGTTCTAAGTAACTAGACAAGCATGTGTTTGAAAAGTGTATACTGACTATTTTATTGAGAAATAGCCGAGCGAAAGCTTAAGGGGTTAAATCAAATCCTGCATCCCTGAGACGAAGATAATCGCCTTGCCTCATAAGACAAAACGCAATAATGAGGGCAAATGATAATAGCTAGTAACAATATATTATATGGTGACAGGAATAATTAAAGAGTAATGGCTACAATAAATTTTCATCAAGTAATGATTTTGAGTTTTCATTGAGATTGAGTATATCGAAACAGTCAATCATGAGAGTGATCAGAATCACATAATTTGATGCAAATTCCTAAAAGCTTAATTGTCTAATGCTCTAGACTATAGGGCATTCGTATTCATAAATCTTCTTTATACCGACATCAAATCACCGCGAGACGTTGTAATCATTTGGCCTCTCGCGCAAACCTATGTTGTTTTGTGAAAAAGTCAAATCGACATTCATCGTCTTTAATTTTTTTCCATGTGCCCTTCCAATAAATCTGCCTTCCGTTTCATTTGTCTTCAGGGTGTTGGTGAAGGGCATGCAGCGTAGAGTATCTTCCATTCTATGGACAGTCTTTTCCAAGCGTCTGTGCGAATAAAGTTTTCCAAGTCTTGTCTAAAAAACGTTTGTTTCATGTATCGAACGAAGATTTCGCCCCATTGCATACTTGTTCAAACTCCACACCACCACACGGAACCCTGACACGATTTTACCTTTAGCACTGTTTTTGCTTGTGTTCTTTAAAAGAGGAGTTTTTCAAATCACAACCATCACAGTTTGTTTTGCTTTCAAGATCTCCGTCATTTACAAACTCCGCGAGTATTTCATCAAAATCTTGTCTAAGATCATTAATAGCTCTGTGTTTCTACATTAGATTTTCGTCCAGTACTTCAACTTGAACGGTTCGTTGATTTTTTCAATACCAAAAAAGATGACATCTATCATGATTTAAAGGCTGGTTTTTGAGGTCTCTGAAAAAGCACAAAAATTGATCGGTTCTGTTTGAGGGGGGAATTTCAGTCATCATGAAGAAAAGCTTTTTTTGAGGTCTTCGAAGAACGCATAGAGATTCAATGGCTCTAAATTCTAGAGGGTAAGCAAAGTCATCGAATGATTAAAGATAAGAGGGCGAGGATGTGTTCTTTTTTGATAATGGAGTACACACTTCAATGTTTCAGTTTTGCGAGGGGTTTACTTGAATCTCACCCTTTTTCTCTGATTTCTCGATCACTCTTGATCACTGCCTTTGCTGGAGGTTGTTTCCTTACCTGAATTTCTGTAACTTCCTTGTCTAGAGGATGCTCCGTTATTCTGATATTTTGGTTTTTATTTTTAAACTTGGTTTCTTTTGTCGAAATTTTCTTTTTTAATTTGTTGCCGTTAAAATTATTTCTATCCAAAACAAGCTAAATATAGCAACTGCAACTGAGTGATAAATTAACAGCAGTGAATAAAAAATCCTTATGGTTAATTCTCGATTATTTCTAAACTATAAAACAATCGCATTCAGGAATCTGCTTCATGCGCACTGCAAATGCATTGAAAGATGTGGTCTTTTCTGGTACTCTTCGATCAAACTTAATTTTTTGTTGTTGTGGAAGCCTTATTGATTTAGTTAAAGGTTCCAGCTAATTTTTTTTCCAGCTTCACTATAAATTTTCTTTGTTTTTCCTTCAATCGTCACTCTGTTTAATTGTCTTCAGAATGAAGATAGAGGCCAGGGTAGAGAATCTTGCTTTCTGCTGGTCATTGTTTTCCAAGTGTCGCAGCAAAAAAACTCCCTTGCTTCTTGTATTAAAGTTGGAACTCATAACATTGAAAATCTGCTTCAATTTCTACCTGAATCATTTGGAACCATGATCGGAATTTGCATTTAGCTTAGTTTCGCTTGTTTTGTTCAATATGACTTTATTTTTTTCAATAGGTTTTTGTCATTTACTTCAGCGGTAACAAAATTAACAAAAAAAAATTCATATCTATCGAAATTTAGAGCTTGTTTTGAGAAACGCACAGAGGTAGGATGGTTCTGAATTCGAAGGGAGAGTCACAATCGACAATTGATTTTGGATTTGAGTGGCGGGTGTGTTTTCTTTGATAATGGATCACAGACTTCAATTTATTTCATCTTTCCGAAGGTTTTACTTCAATCTCCACCTTCTGTATGGTTTCTCGACCACAGCTTTGTTAAATACTAATTCCGCATCGGATTGTGTTTCTGGTTTCATAACAGAAAGATGACATCTCTGCCATAATTGAAAGTCTGGTTTTCGAGATTGATTCTGTTTTTGTGGGAAAACAGTCATCGATTAGTTCTCGATTTGTAACGGAGTGTTTTCTCCTGCTTTATTTGAACACAAAGTTCTATTGTACTGGTTTCTCATTCATGCGTGTGCTGCAATGTGATTCCGCATCTGATTTACGATAACATAGTTGTCTAGATGATGCTTTGCTTTTAGTTTGGGCTTCTTGTTGATTTTTTATTTGGTAAATTTACCATTAAAGTGAGTTCCTCCCAAGAAACAAACAAAAATTGGGGGCTTTCAGTTCGTAGAATACCAGAAGCCATTCAGATATAATTAATGACAGTATGATGAAACAGGCAATAAAGAGTCATTAAATTAAGAAGTGAATTTAAAATATTCCTACTTGTCTTCAGAATCGTGGGCGAAGGGCATGCAGGTTAGAGAGTTTTGCACTCATTGGATAGTCTTTTCCAAAAGTCTGTAAGAATAATGTTTGCACGTCTTGCCTGAAAAATTCCCTTGTTTCATGTATCGAACGAAGAACTTGGCAGATTGAATACCTCTTACAAACTCCATTGACTGGAATTTGAGGTTTTATCTGTTTTGTTAGAAAAGACTATTTTTTCAAATCACAAACACCACAGTTTGTTTTGTTTTCGAAATCATCGTCATTTACAAACTCGTCAAATCGTCGTCAATTTATTGTCTTAAATCAGCATAAGCTCTGTTTCTATTCATCAGCTTTTCGTCAATTACTTCAGCGTGAACGGATTGTTACTTGTTTCATAACAGAACACTTGACATATCTACCATAATTTAATGTCTTGTTTCGAGGTCTGAAAAAAGCACAGTGATTGGTTCTGTTTTTGAGGGAGAACACAGTCATCGAATGTTTCTCGATTTAAAGCGGGAGTGTTTTCACTGCATTTTTTGAACAGAAAGTTTTCCTATAGTTTTAATTTCTCGTTCATAACTGCTGCAATTTGATATCGCATCTGATTCATGGCAACCTAGTTGTCTAGATGATGCTTTGCTATTGTAGTTTGGGTTTCTTGTTGATTTTTTTCTATTTTGGTATTATACCGTTAAATTGTACTCTTTCCAAGAAACAAACAGAAATGGGGGCTTCACTTTGTGGAAGGCCAGAAATTTTAAGATCGAATTAATGACAGTATATTAAAAAAGGCAATCAGGAGTGATTAAATTAAAAAGTGAATTGGAAGTATTCCAAAAATATGATTTTGTAAGGCTGTAGACTATAGAGCGTTCTTATAGGTAAATTTTCTGCATGCTCACTGCAAATGCAACTAGAGACGTTGTCATCACTTGTCCTCCTCAATCAGGTGTAGTTTTATGTTGTGAAAGCGTCAAATCGGCAAAAGATACCGGAATTCATCGTCTTTGATTTTTTCCATGTGCCCTTTCAGCAATCGGTCTTCAGTTTCATTCGTCTTCAGGTCGTAGGGTGAAGGGCACGCAGGTTAGAGAATTTTGGACTCTACTGGACACTCTTGTCCAAACGTCTGAGAATGTTTTCACGTCTTGGCAAGAAAATTTCCTGGTTTCATGTATCGAGCGATGAAATCGTCACATTGAATACCTAACATATTTCTTTAAACACATGGAACCCTGACTGGAGTTTGCGTTTTTGTCTGTTTTAGTTAAAAAAGGACTCTTTTAAATCACAAGCACCACAGTTTGTTTGAGTTCGAGATCATCGTCATTTACAAACTCCGAGCAGTTCGTTTTCAATTTCATGTCTTAAATCATTAACAGCTGTGTTTCTCATATGGTTTTCGTCAACTTTTTCAGCGTGAACGGGTTGTTACTTGTTTCAGAACAAAGTAGATGACATATCTATCATATTTTAAAGTCTGTTTTTCGAGGTCTCTGAAAGAAGTGCTTGGTTGTTTTTGAGGTGAAACTTTGTCATCGAATATTTCTCGATTTGAAGCTGAAGTGTTTTCCCTGCTTTTTTGAACACAAAATCGTCCTATATTACTAGTTTCTTGTTCATGCCTGTGCTGCAATGTGATTTCGCATCTGATTCAAGGTAACTTAGCTGTCTAGATGATGCTTTGTTTTTAGTTAGGGCATCTTGCTGATTTTTTTTTGGGTGTTTAACCGTTAAAATGAACTGTTTCCAAGAAACCACCAAAAATGGGGGCATTCACTTTGTGGAAGGCCAGAAATTTTAAGATCCAATTAATGACAGTAAATTAAAAAAGGCAATCAGGAGTAATTGAATTAAGAAGTGAATTAGAAGTTTTCCAAAAATATGATTTTGTAATGCTCTAGGCTATAGGGCGTTCCTATACGTAAATTTTATGCATACCCATTGCAAATGCAACTAGCGACGTTGTCATCACTTGTCCTCCTCAATCAAGTGTTCTTTTTGTTGCGGAAGGTACCGGCCTTCATC